TTTTTTTTTTATTTTTAAAATAGAAAAAATATCATGGAAGCTTCAGATGTTTCTAAATAAGCAAAAGTATCCTTGTCAACCAGGCAAAGTAATAGTACCCTTTCGTTATTTTTAAAGTTTGTAAGTAACAATCTCTTCATATATAAAGATAGATCAATTGAATAATATACAAGAAGTTGGTATCATATTGTTTTACTTTATTTAAATTTTGTCCACACAATGTCCAAACTCTAAAAATAATATAATTAAACATTAAAAAAAACTCTCATCAAAACGACAACATTTTTTTTCTTAATTGAAAATATAATTTTGTAAATATGTGACTAAGAAACACACTTTCTAAATTATGAATTAATTACTTATTTTAAACAACAGAATATTTTTCCAGGGGTCAAAAGTAAAAGAAAGTGGTACCTTTAAATTTCATAAATCAATGATAGGTTTTTAATTAAATTTTTTTGCTTGACATTGTTTTTTATGTTATGCACAATATGAATGTGTGTATTCAATTGTTTTCTTCTACTTCCACAATAGTTCAAGTAAGCTGCACTATGACTAAAGTACATTCTATACAAAAAAAGTGAACTATTAGGTCTTAGGAGAGAAGACTTAAAATAGAAAAAAACTTTTCATAAAAGAGGAACTATCCCTTCAATCAACATGTATTATAATGATAGTTACATTATAATATAACAAGATTTGAACTTTTTAAAGAAATATCTCTTATTTAATTTTTATTCCAAATATCTCTATGATTACTATATTACTATGTTTTGGGAACGCTTATGAAAAGCCACGTTATAGAAGATGCAACTTGGTACTATGATAGTGAAATCCGTTTCGCATCCAACCAATTAGTTTTTTTTTTTAATATTAACATAATCCCATTTGCAAAAAACTTTGTCCTTTTTCTCTAATTTCAACCTTTGACTCTCTTTCCTTTAACAAAGAATCAGGATGTAGTAATTTTTGGCGTGCCCTTTGACATCCTTAAAGATTTGTTTATTATCTATCCCATTTGATGAATAAGAAGAAAAGAATGATGTTTATTATTAGAAAAATTACCCAAATTAAGAAGAAACAAAATCAAAATTAGTAGACTTTAAATTAAAAGGAGTAATTTATGGAAAAATAAATCCTACCTATATTCGCGTGACAATGTGGTAGCTGCACTGCCATCCAAATTGACTCACTTTTAGGGTGGTAGGTCCAATACGCCATTATTACCCGCCAACCGAGGATCATACTGTTTAGTATTGTTATTTTTTTTTATTTATTATCGCCGGAAAAACATTGTTCCACTTGCTTTCATTACATGACCTACTCAAGCCACCACGACACAAAACATATATTGTTCGTGAATTCTCAATTCTCACTGTCTTTATTTTTTATCTGAAAAAAAAAATATTCTTCCTTCTCTTTTCTGAAACTCCTTAAAGCGAAATCGCAAAGGGTGTCTTGGAAAGAGAGGGTTTGATTGAAAAGCAAAGATCTTTAAGGAAAGAGAAGAGAAAGGGCAACAGTTTTGGTTTTCGGGGGCAATGGGGGATTTGGAAAAGCAACAGAGGGCGGTGGAGGGACGGGAGGAAAATGGGGATGATGAAAAGGAGAGTCTTTTGGAGAGTCCGGCGGTTGTGGATTTTGACAAGCTCTGTTCCTCGGTGGCGTTGCGAAGTTCGCATGGAAGTTGGGGGAAGCTTGGGGGCAGGGATGATGAGCAGCAAGGTGGGGTTTTGAGGATGTGGGAGGGTGAACTCCTCGATTGCTTTGACGATCGCCGCATCGCTCTTGAATCTGCGTGGTGAGGTTTAATGTTACTTGCTTTTTATTTGAAAAAAAAAAGCACTAATATTGTGGTTTTCATGTTCTTTTGTGCTTTTCTCAATGGTACAAATTGTGTGTTTGGAACAATGTTTTGAACGAGGACAGCGTTAGTTTTGTCTGAGGCTATGCTGATTTTGGAAAGAACTAAGGGGAATTATTAGGTTATTGTAATTATTAATTCTTCATTTCCTGGTAGAGAAGTCCTTATAAGATAGTAATTTTTGTCCTGTAAGATATTCTATTTCGTCGTTAATCTTTAGGTACCTACTTAAGGAATGTAAATTGTGCAACTGGAAAGCGGGTTTCCTGTTTAGTGTGCATTTGTGGGCTATGGATTTTCGTCTCGTTCATAGGTTTATGCTTTCACGGTTTAAATGATAGAACTCAAGAAGGGCTCTGATTTTTTTATTTTCTCAATGATGGGGGTGAGGGATTTGGAACATTGATATTCATTATTTCTGAGTTCCTGATATATTTGGTCGCGTTTTGACGGGTTAAGTTAAAATCATTTTAATTTGATTGTTCAATTACATGTTTATGCCTTCTTCTTTACAATGTATTTATGTTCATGCTTCTGGGGCAATGAAAGACTAAAATGCAAAATGTCATGCGGAAACCGATAATGTGCTGTGGTTTGTGGTGATTTTACAAGGTCTTTTTGTGATAAGTCATGTTTGTGAATGGTAGAACTTTTCGTTTTGCAGTTGTCCTTGCTACCGATTTGGGAAGAATATGAAGCTAGCTGGTTTTGGTTCTTGCTATCTCCAGGTATAATTAAATTTCGTTGAAATTAAAAGTGCATATGTTGGTTAGATTGGCCTAGTTATAACTAAAACTAATGGGAAACACTTTTAGAATTGGCAATTTCTTTGTGAATTTTTCTTTTACATTTGGCAATGTAGGTTTCTGAAGTATGAATTTCCGTGTTTTGGATCGCAGGCTATAGTTTATATTGTCCTTGTTCTTGGTGCCCTCGTTAGTTTCATTGCCTATACTATCTGGAGGGTTCATTACTTCCTATACCTAGCGGTTGCATTCACCATTGCTGTTGGAGTATACTTAGGATTCTACCGAACTCGTATGCGGAAGAAGTTCAACATCAAGGTGACTTTTTCTTCCTATACTGTAATTGTTTATGAGCACTTAATTATTCATAGACATGTTTTGATGGAGTTATTTACGTGTTTTCTTCTCCCTGAATTATAAGTTTTATCTTGTTTGAACATGGCTCTTCTACAGACTACAGTAAACATGTATCCAACCTTCATTTTGTTGTAAAGAATTTCAGTTCATCTTCATCTTAATCCTCTAAAATTCAAGGGTGGATTTTGTATGTATGTAATCACACTACCAAACGATGATGTTTTCAGGGTAGTGATAGTTCGTTGGACGACTGCGCCTACCATCTTGTCTGTCCTTGTTGCACATTATGCCAGGTCATTTCAAAATCCTTTCCTTTTTTGTGACTTGAGTTGACTGTGATCGGAGTTATCCATTGTGTTGAATATGTGTAATATGTATTGCAGGAATCAAGAACACTTGAGATGAACAATGTTCAAAATGGCACATGGCACGGTCGTGGTGATACACTATGCATAGGTGGCTTTAGAGATGAAAGTAAACCTCTGTTCGAGTTAATTCCTCCTTCTGCTGTGTCCATCGAGCCTACTGATGAAAATAGCACGAAAAAGAGCACAGATGTTGCTACCAATGGTTCTTGAAAAATCGGTTCTTCATCTGAATTCATTCCGATTTCTCGTGTAGGTTCATAGGTGGACACAAACTGGTGTACCATTCATTCCTAGGAATTTGGAATGGTTAACTAAGTTGTTTTTAAAATCATTGGAGAGGAACATCTTAGTTTTCAAAATGTCACCGTAATTGTGTATGTCATGTTATGTCATTCTCAAGTAGTGGGGTCTTATTTTTACCAAACCCCGCTGTAGTATAGTTTGATTAGTCTTGGAAATATTTCATCGTAAATGTGTATTATATAGTGAACCTTTGAAGTTTGATCCATTTTTACCATGTCACCATTCCACACGCAAAAATTTAAAAAAATGAAATTAAAACATTTTTTCTGAACTAAATTAATTTTAATTAAGATAAGAACGTAACCTATTTGAAGATAAATTTAATGTTCCCTTACAAGTTTAGCATATCAATCCATTTGGAGTTTTTGTGGATCCTTATAATTGAAGTACTGAAGAAGTATTAGAATAGGATTATGCATTAAAAGGTATATGTTAATGTCACTGGATATAATGCAGTAAAATAATGGATGGTGTAGATTGTATACAATTAATTTATCATTGTATACTTTGGATGTCAACAATTTTTAAAATTAAAAAGTAATTTCATAATTTATTTAATCATATTAAAAAAATATTTTTCCTAAAATATACTTCATTGGAAATTGTCCACAATGGTTAATAAAAGCAATTTATTTGTTGAATAAATAATATTATTTTAGTATATTAATGAATTGAACATATTGATGTTCTTAATAATCATTATATGCAAAAACCTTAATTAGTCTTTTACTTTTGAAAATATCTTTAGTAACTTACCCTCTTGTCTTCTATTGAACATTATTTAGAAATAGGCTTTTTAATTTATTTAAAACTTTTTTTCAAAGATTCAACTTCCGAACGTAGAGTTTTCACCTTTCACCGCTTTTTTCTTCTTGCACCTCCCTAAATTCTAATACCCCATTTTACCCCTCCTATATTTATAATAAAATAAGAAAAATTTACATACACCTTTCCTTCTTCATTGTTCAGCTCTACCCTCTCTTCGTCTTCATCCTTCACTTTGCAGTTCGCCTTTGATTCTTCAATCTTCATTGCATTCCAATTGAAGGCTTTGGAAGATTTGCTCCATATTGAATATGTATATGTATTTGTTCTTTATTTTCTGATTGGGCCGGTGGTGTCTAAGTTGGGGTATAATTTTTAGAATAATTTTCGAATGGGTGTCACTCCCTCCACCACCATTCCCTTCTTCCTCCACCTCTCCAATTTTCTTTAATTCCAACTTTATCCTTAGATTAAAATTTTTTACTTTTACTATTTTACTATTTTAATTTATTTGAAACCTAGTTCTCCTACTTTACTATCCCTACATCCAATCTTTTCATCTCTCCATTTCCGTTTAACAATTTCTCTTCCCATCTCTCCCATTTTCGTTTTACTCTGCAACCCCAGTTGTCTCTTCCGTTTCACTTCTCCTCCTCCATTTCTTTCTTCTTCATTTTCCTTTTGGGTTTCAAAGTTTCCATTGTCGTTCATATCTGGTGTGGAGGAGGTCGTTTATCTAGCATGGAGGAGCGTGGATCTGCGGTTGTCCAGGTTGGTTCACCGCTCAATTTTTATAGTTTAATTTAGGGTTTATTATTGTTTTCGAGCTTTGAATATGTGCTTGATTGTTGTGCTGCTGTGTCGCTGGTTGTCGTTGTTGCAAAGATTGTTCGCCTGAACAATGCCCGCGAAAGGCCAGAACGAATGTGGGATATCCGTTTGACTTTCCACGGATGTCCGACTTCCGTGGACAGATGTGGGATATCCGTTGAAGAAAGCACCACTGCACCATTGCACCACTGAGACCTTGATCAATTCTTTCCACCACCACCAACCTTTGCAACTTCTCACTAAGTATACCACCGAATGAAACTACACGTATATTCTCACAGCGAAAGAAAGAGAGAAAGAAATCTAACCTTAAAATGAAAGAAAGAGAGAAAGAAGTCTAAGGTTAAAATGAAAGAAAAGATTCTTACTGAGACTAGTAATAGGTTAGTGGAGTGGGAGTGAATAACAATTCAAAAATAATAACCTTAAAAATAAAATTGTACTGAAGAGCAAAACAGTAAAAGAAAGGTGGAGAGAGAAGAGGTGGTGGTAGAGGGAGCAACACCCTTTTTGAATTTACTTTCAGATTTGAAAATTCTTCCAAATTACTCAATTTCGAAATATATGTTTGTAAATATGATCGGAATTAGAATATAATTTTGAAGGGTAAAGTTAGAATTTTAGAATTTATGGGGTGCAAGAAGGAAAAAATTGAGGTGGAGGAGGTCTTATTTTCATTAATAGAATATCTTAAATATGAAAACTTTTACATTGGAAAGACGAACTTTGCATCTATATGGGAAGCACATGCTTTGTTTTAAAAAGCATTTCAGGTCACAAAACAAATTTCTAGCGGAAGTGTTTGCCTAAGAATCTTTTTTCTGACGAAGAAACGCAAGAAAGAAAACAAGATCACATGATCCTGTCATTCCAGAGTCCCTAGAAAAAGAAGCTCCATTTCTTTTTTCTCTGGCTTTGGGCCTTAATCATGCATTCATCTTCGGTGGTATTCATAGTATTCTTTAAATTTATCAGATAGATAGGTATAATAATCAGACACTGTGCTCAGATGTTGTGAAAGTAAAAAAATATCCTATATTTTATTATTTAGTTATATTGCAAAGAAATTTTACTGAGAACTTTTTTCAAACTTCAGTTAAAATAGTGCAACTGCTTTTTAAGGAATTAATTGCAAGGAGTTTCTCTTTAAAGTGTTCAGTTGTCCTTGGTCTTAGAAAGCTGGTGAGTGTTGTTTAATAAGTTGGAAATTGGTTAAATAAAAAGGTGTTGGAATAATGATATGTGTCATGGTACTTTTGACCAGAGAAGACATCCTTAACGTTAGAAAAGGCAAGAGATATGCATGACAATGATCTCTTTCCTAAAAGCAAAGGACACAGCCATCCATCTAGGAATCGAACAATGATTTGGCTTCCCTATGTTTGAAATGCAACATAGGGAACATATCAGGTGACCTCAGTGTATTCATTTACAGCCACAGCCAAGCCTAAAACAGTGAAACAAACTACGATGAACCAGTTTTTAGAACTTTCTTCTGTGAGATTGATGCCATGATTTAATTACCTTGGGATTGAAATTTTGACTATTTTCTTTACGTTAATGGGATATATATCAACGTTTGAAAATAAATGTATACGCCAAGCTATGATATAATTCTGTCATCACGACCTAAACAAACTGCACTCAGATTCAAATTATGATGTAGTTTCATAAGTACTCTTTTTACTTGTTTAATTAGAATTAATATTTCATCTATCAGCTGTTTTATTTCATTGCATTGGTTGGTGCCACCTTACAAAACTTCCATTTGATTTAATAACGTAATTTCTGAATTTCATTTTATGCAATAGATTACAATAATTCCTTTATGGTGAACGACATATGGACCAAACATGATTGTTCTCCCTCGGCTTCCTCCTTCCTGAGTTTGTAGGAAAACAGGAATTTGTTTCTGCAACATATAGACCATTAAATTCTTTGTCGTTTGGTGTTTCTCTCAAGCACACTCCCAGGAGTTTCTGTTCTTAAAAAGCATCTTTCTGTCTCTAACTCTTTTGCTACCGTTCTTATCATCTCTTGCATCAAATCAAAGCACTTGGACAATGTCTCCTAAAACAACCACCATCAATGTGTAGACGCTATAGCAGCAAAGAATAAAAAAAAATTGCTTTTAAGGGTAGTGATTGAATGTAAACTTTACCTCATCTAGGTACTCACTGGATATAATTGAAGCTCTCAGAATAGAATATTGATGAGGGAGTAGTTCATGCGATGCAATGATGAGGGCAGTTGCTGCAATAGTTGAAGGCTTATACTCTAAAAGCTTAATGTCTGCAGACATAAGAGAGATGCAATTCAGAGTTTGTGATTGTTGGAGTTGAAGATAAAATCAAGTTATACGTATGAATGGAAACAAGCCACTTACCATTTTGAGCATTGAAGATTATAGCAGAAGCTCTCTCTTTGAGTGCTTGCTTCAGTGAGTGGTCTTCAATTTCAGCTAAAGAGATGAAGAAGCGCAGGAAAGAAAAAGGTGTAATTGACCTCATACGCCATTTCAGTGCCCCGAGAATCAGAGGCTCCATTCTCTGAATACTTTGAACCTTAAAGTTACAACCTTCTTTCTGTTTCATGATCATAAACACCACATTTTCAAGTTACCATGCCATGGTTGGAGATTTTTTTCTATTAAAATGATTCTAATTACGTGAATTTGAAGATTTACCTGCATTTCCAAAAATGGCAAAGTTGTGTTTTTCATCTTTGAAGCAAGAGAGAGACACGATACGACAACAAGCCTAAGATACCACGGATTCCCCTTCTGCAAACTCAGGACTAATGGCATCAGGGTAACATTGGAAATTATGGAAACGTATTAAGGTACAACTGTTCCAAGGTTTCTTTGCTTTTTTTTAATATGAACTGAACATAAGCTTAACACATAGGCATCATCAGATATCTGCTTACCGGAATTTCCTGGCTTGACGTGAAACGGTGCATGTAATTTATAGCAAGGTAAGCTACAAAAGGGTCTAGTTTGTAAGAAAGCTGAACCTGAAGAAACATAACAAAATGTAGCAAATGTGACACGAAGGAGGGGGAAATGAACCTATTACATAAACATAACTTCACCTGAAGAATAAGAGATATGGCCTCAAAACAGAAAACGTGAAAATGTGTTAGACTTAAGTAGTTTGGTGAGGGCATGTGATCTGATTCGGAGGCAAAGAGTTCTGATACAGTAAAGGGTTGCTCTTCTTCCAAGCTGACTAGTGGGTCTTCAAGATCAAACTCCATCTTCCCTTTCTTGATATCCTAGTCTGCGTTCTATATTCTGTTCATTGCTATTGAGGAATTCAAGGCATAAGAAAGACAAAGAGACAAAAAGTCTCAAGATGGTAACTGAATTGATGGAAAAGAAAGAGAAGCTTCGGTTTCTGTGTTGATAAAGTGGTTGTGTTGGCGTTCTTTATTGGAAGTAGTAGTGTTTACAAATACATAATAGGAATATGAACTCTTTGCTCCTCGCTCTTCCTCATCATAGAAATCAGGAAAAACACCAGAGATGCGAGAGGAGTACCTCAAGAGTTTAACAAGTTTTTGGACTGAATATTAGGATTACTACATTTTCTACCACCTCCCAAAGATAAAAGTTCTACAGGTTTAAAAATATAGGAAAGAGAACATAATTATGCAGCATGTGCGCTTGATCTGAGATGGAAGTGACAGCGTTTTGATTAACATTAGGAGTGGTACCGTTACTTTCATCCCCACATACAAAATGCTTAAATCACCTTGTCCAACTCATAATAATGTTCATATATTTTAAATTATACACCGTTCATGCTTACACAGTCTAGGCAAAACTATACAGTGCAATTGCTTATTCTTGCAATTCCCTTCTGTTTCTGTGGCTGAGAGTGTCATGTTTTGTGTCATACAATTTCACTACAGAAGATTCCTACATTCTGTTTAGTGAATTTTAATTAATTAAAACCCTTTAATTAGCCTTAGTTTTATAATGGGATGCCTGTACAATGCAGTTATATCTCGGTCATTTGCATCGAGTGTAAGTGGTCCTCTGGTTGATCTGGTAATGAGAGCATGTGCAACCGGAAAACCAACCTGTCCTATTTGGGTTCATTGTCACATCCTTGCAATGTAAACCTGAGTACCTCCTTTTGTGTCATTTCAGAACAAGCATTGTTTCATGGCATTCTAATTAGTTATGTCGTAATACACACCCATTTTTCAGCTGAGAAATAATACAGTAGAGAGAATTTTGAAATATATCAAATGGTGTAACACAGAAAAAGATAGAATGATGTTGTATAAATTGTTGTCCATGTATCACATAATCTTAGCTTCGGCTTTTGAAACAAGTGAAACCCTTTTGCCTGGAACAATGATGGAAAAGAAAAATCTGTTGAATGATAAGTATTAAAAATCTTTACCTTATTCCCTTTGACCGGTTCCCTATATGAATCACAAGAAGAACAAAAAGGAATCTTCTTTTACTATGACATCCTCAATAATAATAATAATAACTTTGACTACCCGTTTTGCTACTCTTACTATTGTTGTTAGAATGGGTGACTATGACCATTCTTTTTTTATCGAGGTCACCCCCACTTTGAAGATGAAGTTAAAATGTTGCCATATTTCTCATGTTGCAGAATATTAAACAGTTCCCATAACTCATGATGGAAGAGTGAATCGACATGAATGCAGAGTTGTTCACATGATGATGATGATGAAGAAGGGAAGGGTGTCAGAAACGTCTCGCTTGACTTGACCGTGGTCTGGCTTGGGGATTATCTGTAACGTTTTGGCCATTGGGGTCTCGAGGGACATTCAATTGTTTGTCTTTACCAACATTTACCACATTACATGTGACTTGGTTACACAAACATCTAACTCAGTACAGTCCATGGGTCAAATCTTCCCAAAATTTCAAAATATCAAACATAAAACATAAATCCAGTAGAAATGTCAATTCTGTAATAAAAAGTTGTCACCATCACTCTGGATAGAGAAATTACTCTCTAAATGGATTTGGATGTACGTGGTTCTAACATTCAAAATTAATAAAAATCATCTGCTAGTTTAAAATATCTCACATTAAACATAAAGCAAATAAGTAAAGTTATAAGTATTACATTATTTATTCCTCAATATATAATGTTTTCAAAATATAAAATTTATTAAAAAAGATTAATATTATGCAATATAATATAAACTATACATAAACAACTATTCATCTCTACTTTAGGACTTGATCACGGTTAGGTTTCTCATTTGTAATAGGTTTCTCTTCCCTTATCCTTTGTTTTCGTACAACACAATAAATACAATAACAAATGAGGGGAAGATAATATATTTTAAAAAATAACATAATTTAAATTAAAATAATTTTAAAATAATCAAACAATCACGTACAATAAGTTCATTCGATGATACATCATTATTAATATTTAAAATACAAGATATTCTTTAATAGTTATTACATGAGCAAGTAATTTAAAATTATAAAACAATATAGAAATATATTTTCATATTTAGGACAAATTAGTTTAAAAAAAAAACAAATAGATAAAAAAAGTAAAATAACTTATAAACACATGTGACAAAATAAATAGAAATCGAAAACAAATTAACAATGTCAAATGACTAAAATACTAACTTTTGATATACTTATCAACAAACTAAACGTGAGTAATAAAGTAAATTTTTTAGTATTTTTTTATATTATAATAGATAATAAATGAGTATTTTTGATGAAAAGTTTACTAATAACAGAAAAATGTTTATTGATTTAATAAATCATGTTTACACAATACAGGTGATTAACATAAGAAGTGATTATAATTTATGATGTTTGTCCAAGTGGCATACACAATGACCTCATTTTAGATGGGAGTTATAATGAGACATATCGAGTTTTCAAAAATAGATTAAAGCATGATTTTGGATCATCTCTTTCATTGGTGCTTTTGGATAAAGAGAAAGCACCAATACCAACCTATCTCTATCTATCTTTTGATTGTGTTCATCATCTTTTATAAAAACACAACCAAGAAATGTCGTCCCCTATCTCTTGTAGCTATCTTCTGTAGAGGAAGATCAGAAAATTAATTAAGTCTTGACTATAACAAAGTGTTTAGTGGTTGTGTTGTTCATTTGTTCAAAATGAACAACACAACCATGACATCCACTATGCCTGATAAATCCATAATTTGTTATACACCACTCATGGTAACAACAAATGGGTTGTGGAAGACCAATAACCTTTTAGATTTCTCTCTTCCTCTGTTTACCTTGCAATTAACGTTAGTTGTATCTGCAACACGTTTCTTTGTTTTAATCCTCAAGCCCTTTCACCAACCTCGTGTAATTGCTGAAATCTTGGTAACTTCATTTCTCTTTCACCTTTTATTTTCTTTCTCGAATCAAACACACAACATAGAAAAAAGACACAATCATCATTGTTTATTAACTCTTCCAATTTTGGCATCATTTATAATGTATTAGTATCCAAATAACTCATAATAATGTTATGAGTAAATTTTTTCTTACTATTTTTATTGTCGGATCAATAACTTGTTAGAGAACCTGTGATTCATAAGATTAAGAAAATGCATACGATAATTTGAACAGTTTATGTTGTAACCATGTAGAGCAAATATGTGAACAGGAAATTAAGGTATAGTGGGTAACCTTAATATGTAGCCATAGTATTGCAGGTGTGTTTAATTTCAGAGCCTTTGATGTTTTTTTGTTCTTTCAATATTTTATAACTAGATGGAATGATTTGAAAATATATTTACAGGGTGGATTGCTTCTGGGTCCATCAGTGCTTGGAAGAAATAAAAATTTTGCCAATATTGTGTTCCCTATGAAAAGTGTAATGCTGGTGGAGACAATGGCAAACATGGGTCTGATATACTTTGTGTTCCTGATTGGGTTAGAGATGGACGTTTCGATCATCAAACGTGCTGGAAAGAAGACGGTGTTAATTTCCCTTGCTGGTATGGTGATTCCCTTTATGGTTGCTATGTGTTTATCCTCTTTAATAGCTAACACAGACGAAAACATAAATCAAGCCAGCTGTATCCTCTATCTTGGTATTGTTCTATCTGTCACTGCATTCCCGGTGCTTGCTCGAATGCTTGTTGAGCTCAAACTTATCAACACAGACTTAGGGAAGCTTGCTCTATCAACTTCTCTCATCAATGATGTGTGTGCATGGATGTTGTTGGCTCTAACTATTGCTTTATCAGAGGAAATAATTAGCGCTTGGGTATCATTGTGGGTTCTGCTATCAAACCTTGTTTTTCTTTCTTTCTCCTTTCTTATTGTTAGACCAACAATGGCGTGGTTGATCGAGAAAACTCCAGACGGAAAACCCTTCAGTGAGTTTCAATTATGCATTGTGCTCACTGGTGTATTGATGTCGGCCTTCATCACGGATGCCCTTGGAACACATTGTGTTTTTGGAGCTTTTGTGTATGGCCTAGTCATTCCAAATGGGCCACTTGGAGCTGCAATAATAGAAAAGCTTGAAGACTTTGTTTCAGGACTTTTGCTTCCTCTCTTTTATGCCATTAGTGGGCTCAAGACAGATATCAGCTTAATCAGCGGAGCTAATACTTGGGCTTTTATTCTCTCAGCGATTTCTCTAACTTATCTCGGCAAGATTGCTGGAATTCTCCTTGTTTCAAACATGTTGCAGATACCAAATCGTGATGGAGTTGTTCTTGGTTTACTTATGAACGCTAAAGGCATTATTGAAATTATTGTGCTCAATGTTGGGAGGGAACAAAAGGTACACCATTCAATTTCTTTGTTAATCTAGCTATTACTTAAAGGATCAACACATGATGATGACTAGTTAACTTTGCATATGCAGGTCTTGGATGATAAAATATTTTCAGTTATGATCATTGTAATACTGATAATGACAGCATTCATTTCACCAATTGTAAAATTAATTTATAGGCCAAGAAAAACGCTTGTACCTTATAAAAGGAGAACAATACAAAGTTCAAGACTTGATGGAGAGTTAAGAGTCCTTGTGGGCATTCACACCCCTCGAAATGTTCCCACACTAGTTAATCTCCTTGAAGCAACTTATCCCAATAAAAGGTCTCCAATGTGTGCTTATGTGCTCCACTTGGTTGAACTCACTCGTAGAGCTTCTGCAATGCTAATTGTTCATGCCAATAGACAATCAGGAGGTCCAGCCCTCAACAAAACACAAGCACAAACCGACCACATCATCACGGCATTTCATAACTTTGAGGAACAGGTCAATTATGCTCAAGTCCAACCCTTAACAGCCATTTCCCCTTACTCCACCATGCATGAAGACATATGCAATTTGGCTGAAGAAAAAAGGGTGTCCATCATCATCATTCCTTTCCATAAGCAACAAACAGTAGACGGACAAATGGAAGATACAATCCCAGCATTAAGAATGGTGAACCACAATCTACTACAAAACTCACCATGCTCAGTTGGTATACTTGTGGATAGGGGATTTAATGGATCCAACCGCTTGATTGGAAATCAAGCATGTCATAAAGTGGCTGTGCTATATTTTGGAGGACCAGATGACAGAGAGGCATTAGCTTATGGATGGAGAATGTCAAGACATCCAAGGGTTCACCTTACTGTCATGCACTTCATTCCAACTGAGTATTCATATCAAAGTTCAGAAACAGATCGCTTATGGGCAAAGATTGATCGAAGTTTCACCACTATGAAAAATGGAGGGGAAAACAAACTGGATAATGAGTATATAAGTGAGTTCAAGAATATGATTGCACATGATGATTCAGTCATTTACATAGAAAAGGTTGTGAACAATGGGGAGGAAACAGTTGCAGCAATAAGATCAATCAATAACATGAATGACTTGTTCATAGTTGGAAGAGGACAAGGGACAATGTCACCACTAACAGATGGCCTTACAGATTGGAGTGAGTGTCCTGAGTTAGGAGCCATTGGCGATTTACTAGCATCTTCAGACTTTGAAACAACGGCTTCGGTGTTGGTGTTGCATCAATATGTAGGGCAAGGACCAGATGGAGAGGACAATTTTGTCGTTGAAAGACCATGGGAATCAGCTGAATCCCGACATAGCATAAATCAACAACAACATATGCAAAGATATGTAATGCCAATGGGAACAGGACACTCTTCTGTAATGTTTACGATAGCATGAATGAAGCCCATACAATTAGAAATCAAATACAAACAGTTTATTCATATATACATTTAAATTAGCACAACGACTATATAGTTGATGCTAATGTTCCCTTAGAGGCTACCCACAGCTAAAGTGCGGTGATAGATGTTCATAAAAGGTGTCATCATAGTTATTTTTTATACTTTTGGATTTAGGCTTCAGCTGGAACTTGTATGTTCATACAACACAAAAAGAGAAAGGAAAACATAACTTAAAATGTACAGTAAAAATATGGTAGTTTTTTTTTTAATTTATGCAAAAAAGAAAAAATAGTTTTGAATCTTGATGTTCTTTTACTTGAATTTAACACTATAATTAACTAGTTCAAAATGAAATAAAGATCTTATTATTGATTTTCATATTTTTCAAAATTATACAGGAATTACCCCTGGTAGGAGATACAGGTAAAATGTTTTAGAATTAAATTTTTGAGAAAAAAATACTCTTCCATTAAATATATAGTAGAGATCCCTTTATTAGGGAGGATTTGGGGGCTGGGGGATATTATTGCTCCCCAAACTTTCAAATTATTTATGGTAACGAGAATTTATGAGTATTAAATTAGGCGAATTTTTAATCTTTTATACGTTATTAATATTAATAAATAATAAAATATAGAATTAAAGATAATAAAAAATAAGCAAGTTTATTAAGATATTTTTTCATTTTCTTTCTTCTTATTTATTGAGTTATTTATTATTTTTGTTCATTTCTCGTTCTCATATCTTTTTGTTTTTTAAGAAAAAAGGAAAATTAAATATAATTTTATTATTTCTGTTCTGATCTGATATAGTATAATATATTTTTTTTATCTTATGAGTTGCTTTTTTATGATTTCTGTTAGAACATAAAAGGAAAAATTGACCATGTCATAATATGTTTTTAATTGGGATTAATTATGATATATTTTCCTTTTAGAAAATATATCTCTTAATATGTAATTAGATTTTGATAGTTTATTTTTTAAAAACAGGTATATTGTTGAAGGATGGAAAAATAAATTTATTTTTTAAAAGCGATAAGAGAAAATTTATATGAATAGATAAAAACAATCCAAATTTAACTTTTTTACCTACCTATCATGAAGAAAAATATTAATAATTTAATTATTCGATTATAGAAGTCATTTTGTGAACAACTTTTATTCTTTAGATTTTAGTAAAAAAAAAATTTAAAATATCAATTTCATCACTTTTATTGTTGATGCTCCCAAGTAATTAATCATACTTAAGAATTTATCAACTATAATTATGTCTATCTTTAGCAAGAATAGAAAAGTCAATAACATATTTTATTGATTGCTTAATTAATTTATTTTTGTCTTTTTTTTTCCTTCTACACCTATAAAAAAATTATTTTTTGTAATAAATATTATCAATAAAATAAAATATAATTTTTTTATGTACAATATAGTTATTTACATTAAAAAATAAAATAGCTGAAAATTTTAATATATCGATAAATTCAAATATTTGAATAGCTGTAAAATTTAATTTTAATATATTGATAAATTAAAATATTTGAATAAACAAAAGAAATCATATATATATATATATATATATATATATATATATATATATATATTGGTGTATGTGATTTATTTTAAAATTATAATTATATTAAATTATGTATTTATTTTTATTATATTAATAATCATAATAAAATATATACATTTTGAATATATTATTTTACCTCTTCAAATGTTATTAATTAAGATCAGTCACTAGTTACATGTTTTTAATTGTGATGTAACATAAGTCCATCATTGTTAATTAGACATTTAAAGAAATGTTACAAATAAAAAGAATGTAATTTATGTTGTTTGCGGTATTAATTTTCCGAAATTGTAACAATTTTAATCAGAACTTATTATTTCAGTATTTTTAAAAGTTAAAATTAATATGTAACTTTTTAAAAGTAATTATTCTTTAATTAAAAAATCACGCAGAAATAGTAACAGAGACACAAAGGAGATAGAGGAAATGGAAAAGGGTAAAATGCATTGTACGATTTTTCTAAGCTTTTTTAAAGTATTTTATTATAATTTTTAAAATGTTGGTTTTTCAACTGTGATAATCTCTTCAAAGAAATCAACGGGCTTTTTAGCACGCCGGTTCGTTAATAAAAAGATTAAATATATTTTTAGTCTCTAAACTGTTTTTGATTTTAGTCTTTCTTTCAAAATAAGCTATAATTTAGTTATCATTTTTTTCGAAATTTTGGTTTTAGTCTTCCGAAAATTAACGTCGTTAAAAATGTGCTGATGTGTCTAACGTTTCTGTCCACATGTCAGCAAAAAAACAATTACACATAAACAGAGACGTTAGACACATCAGCACATTTTTAACGGTGTTACTTTTCGAAGACTAAAACCAAAGTTTCAAAAAGAATGAAGACCATATTATATCTTATTTTAAAAGAGGGACTAAAAAAAACAGCTAATAGTTTAAAGATTAATTTAACCCTTAATAAAAAAAGGTTCCACGCTATAGCACATGTTTCGGTAATCTTAAAAATCCCAATTAAAAGTTATAAAATGCTATAAATTCGGTGTCTAAGCAAGAAAAAATAATGCATATTGCTAATCTTTTCTGCTGCTAGGAAACAAAATCTGACACTATTGCTTCCCGAATCTTCTTTCAAACTAAGCTAACTATTCTTTAATCTTACAATATCTTTATTTAAAAAGGCTTAGGATCTCATTTTGTATTGAATATTTTTTAATAAAAAATTAAATATATTTTTGGTTAATTTTCAATAAAAATTAAAAATATTCTCTTTTCAAAATTTAATTTAATTTAATCTTTCAATTTTATAAATATATTAATTTAATCATTTTAATTAAAATTTATTAAATTTATTAGTATTTGAATTTTTTATTTTCGTTTGATATTTTTTACTTTAATATTAATAAAAAAAATATGTTTAAAATATCAAACAAATTGAAGAAGATTTGCTTGGTATTTTAAAAATAAAAGACTAAATTAATTCAAAGTGTAGAAAAAGATTAATTTTAATTTTCACTAAAAGTTAAGAAATCAAACATGTTTAATCTTTTAATATACTTATTTCAACTAACTCACCTTTTATTTCTTAAAGAATTATTTGAAAATAATAAATGAGATAATTCACTGTTAAAATTATTGAAACTTAATAAAATTTGATTTATGAGGATATTGTGGAATATGATTCTTGATGACAGAGGGTGTTTTAATATGTATGTGAATCCTGGGAAGACTCCCTGTGTATCAAATTACCTGTGAAAACTTTGGATATAATCCGATGAAGGGAAAACTGACCAATGGTTTTCTCAATTATGGATTTATTGAGAGAGAATAGATAATATCTTAGAATTTGTCTTTTTCTCTCTGCTTGATTACACAAAAGTATGGAAAGATTCACTTTCTGGGGAAAATAAAAACAATCACAAAATCCAAATCTCAACTTACTACTTACAAATAATTTATAACGATTTTGGCACACACATCCATTTCAGTTGACTTCCTCTTAGTTAACATCACCCATTATTAATGGTTATTTATACTCTCCATTTCCAATTCCGTTTAATTCTTTTTTATTCTCATTTTTCTTTTGTTACAATGTATTTTTCATCTTCTACACATTTAATTGCATATTCTATTTTTAAAAATAAATAATTTTTCTGTATATTATATATAATCTACTTTTCAATGAAAACGTTTAACATTTTTTTAACAGGAACAGATGTTAATTATTGATATAACATAATCAGAGTTATTGTTTTACGATTGGATGACTGGCCATTTTAAACTCAATTTAATAATACAAAAAAGTTGTTATCACGGTAAAACGTAAGCCTAATTGTATTTCCGCAATAGTTAATAAAGGCATTAATTTTTATAATGGTATGATATTTTTATCTCATTTATTACTCTATTCAATCATTATATAACAATATATATCATTGTTTTTTAAAATTGTATTTATATTTATTATTATCATAATCTAAATATAATATTTTATTATTAAAAAATTGAAAAGTTGTTCAAGGAAAAAAGTGGTTACGAATATTTTTTCGTTTTTATAACTGTTTTTTGTATATATTTTCTTATTCTTTTATACGTAACGTTATGATAACTATTATTTCTATAAGTAACAAACAATAAAAACCAGAATCACAGATCAGGAACAAATGATTTCTAAAATTGTAATTTTTAATCAAACAATTTAATTACTGAATATTATTAATATATTATGTTTTTAATTATAATGGTAAATATTTACTAAATATGACATTTTTTAAAGTTTCAAGAGTCAGATCAGTTTTTTTTTTCATATGTGGTAAAATGAACGTTTTTTCTTTTTTCTTTATTGTTTCTATTTCCTTTGTGGATTTTTTTTCTTCTTTTTCTCAATGCCAAACCTGTTAAATGGTCATTAACCAGTCTATTGTTACCTTAACTTGGTTGTAGCAGATTCTTGCAGCCATGAATCTTTCTAATGGCAATGAACCACCAAGAAGGTTGGAGGTATGTTATTGTTACTATGATATTTTCTTGGTATTCATCCTCCGTTATTGCTATGCTTACCTATAATGGTTGGATTGATTTGTTTCAAGCAGGGAAAGTTCCAAGCCATGGTGGTTTGTTTCATTCTTGGATTGGGATCTCTGGTTGCTTGGAACAGTATGTTGACAGTAGGAGATTATTACTACACTCTGTTCCCTGTGAGTATCTCACGAACCCAGAATTGTTCGTTCTTCTTTCTGTGTTGCATATTTGAATTGAAAGGTTTATTGGTCTGTCTAACGACCTTTTGCCATAGAGATACCATCCATCGCGTGTGCTCACCCTTGTTTATCAACCCTTTGCACTTGGTACTATGGCAATACTGGCGTATAATGAGTCAAGGATCAACACTAGATTGAGGAACTTAATTGGCTACTCTCTTTTCTCCGTCAGTACTTTGCTAGTGCTTGTTGTGAGTGCTCGTCCTAATTCACTGTTTTTCATTTTTTCTTTTTCTAGTTTGAAAAAGATAAAATCT